CAATGCATCAAAGATCAGACAAGTAGTACCCACCCGTGATCGATTCGAGACAAAATGCTGCTCCGATACTTTCGTATCGGGCAGCTAATAATTCCAAAGATTCAGCATAATTGACAAAATCTAATTAAGAAATCGCATAATTCGCATCCATCGCATAATTGACCTTAGTGAAATCGCACAATTTACCCAATCGCATCGCATAATCCTGGACACCCTGTTGTGAACTATATGTTAATCACATGATTTAAAAAGGCGGGTAATACAAAGCTCTGAACACGTGCGAAAGAAGAAAAAAGGAAAAGAAAGCGAAAATACTCAAAAACTAGTGTTTAAATCGACTTTGGTTGACTAATAAAAAATAACGGGGATGAAATTTTACATATAAAAAACCCAACTTATCACCAAAGCTCACAACCCTAACGTTTTAATCTTAAACTTCTATTTTTATGCACTTGTTTTATTTACAAAATTTGATTCCTTTTTTGGTTTGTGTTACCCGCGCAAATAAGTAAATCGTGGCATGAGGTAGGCACTTAGCTCAGGGCATGCCCAATTTTTTTTCCCGTGCCCCTAATCGCCACCAATCAAAAAAAAACGTTAAAGCATATAAATAGTATAGGAAATAAACGCGTCGTAGACTTTAATAGTCTTTTTGATTCTCCCGCTATTATATTTTTGTTCTAGTTATTTGCAAAACACATCATAGACTTCGTTATTTCTCATCATATTTTTGTCCCAATTATTTTTTTTTCATTCTTTACGCTATGTCATCAGAGGTCTTGAAAGTTTTGAATCAAAGTCAACTCCAATATCCAAATTACTGGAGAAAAGCAACCGAAGAATTTTTTAAAGAAAAAATTTCCTAACGCTTCTCAAAAGAGGTCTCATCAAGTTTTGAACGATGAACTTAAAGTCTTAGAAAAAAGTTTAAAACCAGGTACAAGGGCGTTTTGGAAAGTGATATCTTTAAAACAAAAATTGAAGGTTAGTATTTTTATATACTAACAAGAGTAATGAGTTGCGCTACGCCTCGTTAGGAACGTGTTAGAAATCAATTCACAATAGGCTCGTCCCTCTCCCTCCTCCTAAGAAATTTAGTCCACTCTGATTGGTTATATATATATATATTCGAACCAAAGATTTATTTAACTCCCTCTCACCCCATGATATCTGACACTTCCCTTAGCTGCGTGTAATGGGGAAGAAGAGCGCCTGGACTGATCGAGCTGTCTCACCTCTAAGACGTGCACACTATGTTGCTGTACAGTGGCGATCATAAGTAATGGAGCAAAAAAAAAAATTTGGTTAGATCACGTTATTTCGTGCAATTCTGGACGTA